AAATAAAATAAAATAAAATAAAATAAAATAAAATAAAATAAAATAAAGTAAATTAAATAAATATGAATTAAATGAAACAAATACATAAAAAAGTTTATAAAATAAAATACATTAAAATTTTTGTTATTTAATCTATACATAGCATAAAGGAAAGTCGAGATTCTTTGAATGCGGTAATCTCGAAAACTGCTGAACGGATTTTGACGAGATTTTCTCTAATATACTCTGTGTCGACAGGAGAGGGATCTTTTTTTACTTAGAATTTTAATAGGGCTGCCACCTGTCTAAAAAACTATAAGATCCGCACCGTTCGTTGGATTACCAGAAATGGGGTGTCAAATAAAAGGGATTGGCCTCTAGAAAAGCACTGATATTTTTTTTTAATAGAGTTGCTACATGTTAATAAAAATACTATATTCAATCATAATAAGCGTAGGCATCAGTTCTGTACCATCACTGTCAAACGAAAAGACTTAACCTCTACATGCGCAATGATGTATTATTTTTCTGAGTAGGGTTGCCACCTATTAAAAAGTTAAAAGATTTTCGCCGTTTGTTGGATTACAAAATTAGATACCAAATGAAAGTGCATGGCCTTAGCGTGTACAAAAGCTTTATTATTTTTCAAGTAGGGTTGCCACCTATTTAAACTTACTATCTTCTATACATAGTAGAAAAGGAAATTTGAGATATTTTGACCACGCCACCGAACGGATTTAGAGGAAATTTTTTAAGTATAATCTGTATCGATAGGAATATTATCTTTAGACCTTCGAGTTCCTATAGGGTAGCCACCTGTCTAAAAAATTATAAGACCCGCAATGTTCGTTGGATTACCAGAAATGGGGTGTCAAATAAAATGGCTCAGCTCTTAGATGTTCAATAATGTATTACTTTTTGAGTAGGGTTGCCATCTATTTAAAAATTACTATTTCATTCGAACATGGTATGAATACAAAAAGTGAGAGGTGCAGTGAAAAGGCATGGCCTTCAGATGTTCAATAATCATGAATAAAGGTATTATACGTGAAGGCGCTCTCTCTTCAAAATTGTTTTTTTTTGTTAGGTGCTGTATTCAAAAAAGCGTAAGAGGCTGATGCTTTTTTTGTTTGCATATGTGAGCATGTATGTACATTAGGGTGGTCCAAATATAGTAAAGTCAGAATTGTAATGCTCTCACCCCCTAGCATTGTTCTATATCTAAAAAAGTATACCCTTATTTTTTTATTTTGAAATCAAAAAATATTTAGAGGTCGCTCAAAGCGCTCAAATTTGTCCATGTATTTTTATATGGGAAAAATAAATTTTTTTGTAGAAATGGTATAGAATTCTTGAAAGTCAATATTCTTCGATCAGAAAACTCTGGTTCTCTTCAGGAGACTTTCAACAATAATACCCCATTGTTTATTTAACCAAATTTTAATACTAAGATTTTTCATTGGTCGTTCCATTGCATTTTTCAGGGTTTTTGTGGGTTTTTGGCAGACCTACAAATTATAGTTGCAACCAAAACATGGTTAAATAAAAATTGGGTATTATTATTGGGAATCTCCTGCAGATAAGCAGAGTTTTCTGGTAGAAAGGTATTGATGTTTAACTATTCGTTACCACTTCTACGAAAAGTTGTTTTTTCCCCATATAAAATACATGGAAATCTTTCTAAATATTTTTTTGATTTCCAAATTTAAAAAAGGGGTATACTTTTTTCGATGTAGAACAATCCTAGGGGGTGAGAGGATTAAATAAACAAAAAAATTCAAATAAAATACGCTTACTTTGATGTTTTTGTTTAGTTTCTTCGCGTATTTCTTTCCTCTTCTCTTCCTCGCTAATTTGAATATATGTACATATGTATGTACATCTATACATAGTATAAAGAAATGGCGAGATATATTTTAACCACGCTACTGAACGGATTAAGACAAGATTTTTTATGTATATAATAAACGAAGTGCATGATGACATATGATTTTTTTCTCCAAATACGTAAATGTACATTCATATGCATACAATCAGCGCGTGGCGAAGCCTCGCGCATCCGTGGCCGGCTAGTTAAAAATAAACTAAACCAACTAAATTGTATTAAATCAAATTAAACTAAATTAAATTAAATCAACTTAAATTGATTAAATTAAATTCGCAAATGAATTAAGACTAATAAAATGGTTGCAGGTTCGTAGTGTGTTAGTGCATCTTTACAAAAATGTCTTCAAATATGTATTTACATGTTGTAAATATGTACATATATTCATACAGTGACTCAAACAAGTGACAACGTGTTGATTTTTTTACATTCAAAAAATTTTCATCAAAATTTCATCTTTTAAAACTGAATCTTTAGAATATTTTTGGGTATGCAGTTGTATAGCCCATGCAGTTTTAGTCTGATGATTCGCAAAAATCAACGTAATTTTTTAGCCGGTTGAAACTCGCATTTCATTGCAATAAAATTGTATTGACTCTAAAACTGCATACCCAAAAATGTTGTAAAGACTTAGATAAAAAAGTTGAAATTTTGATGAAAATGTGTTAAATTATCCTATATTTTGCAATAAAGTTTGAAACTGTGATTTATGTATATATTAATCACCAGCCAACAAGATTTAGCTCGAAAAACATTACGAAAAAAAGAAATCAGCACTTGGTCACTTGATTGAGTCACTATATGTAGGTAAGCATGCAATTGTGAAAACCAAACAAATGCACCCTCATTTGGCATTTAATGTGCAATTAATCTAATCTAATGGAATAGACAAACACACAAAAGATTTAAAACAAGTGCTAAAATTTTATAGCTTTAAATAGAACATGCATTCTTATCTCGTCGCTTTCGTGTTGTGTTTTTAGCCCTCGCTACTACATACATACATACTTACCTATTATCGTTTTTTTATCTTGCTCCCCTCTCTTAGCCGCCTGTGCCATATGGCGCTTGGACGGGAGAACGGCTGGCTATACAAGATTCCGAATTATGCATGCATCGTGATCCTTTCAGACGACAATCGGAAATCGTCGGCAGTGAGGACTGTCTCTACCTAAATGTGTACGCTCCAGAGGTGAGTTACTGTCTATTACTATCCCATAATGTTCACAAAAATATTACATTTCTTGAAAGGAACCCAAAACTTCGACACCACTGCCGGTTATGGTGCATATACATGGCGGTGGCTTTGTAAGTGGCTCTGGCGTAAGCAGCTTCTATCCGCCAAATTATTTGCTCGATCATGATATCATACTCGTTTCGGGCAATTATCGTTTGGGTCCACTCGGTTTCCTTAGCACTGAAACTATAGATTGTCCTGGCAATTTCGGACTGAAAGATCAGGTGGAGGTTTTGCGTTGGGTACAGAAAAATATTGCCGCATTCGGCGGAGATCCGAAAAGTGTGACAATTTTCGGTAATAGCGCAGGTGGCGCTAGCGTAACATATCAATTGTACTCAGACTTAACGAAAGGTATGAAGGCATATAATTCATCGAAAATTTATACGTATGTATGTACATATACAAATGCATTTTCAGGTCTCTTCCACAGAGCTATCGTTCAATCGGGTACCTATTTCAATCCGTGGGCACAGCCAGAGCATAAGGGCGTTGCCGCAAAGCGTGCTCGAGAGGCGGCGCAATTGGTTGGCTGTAATCCAGCGGAGAAATGGCAAAAAATACTGCGCTGTCTACGCACCAAGAAAGCTAGCGATATTGTCGCTACGCTTTATGAATTTTTTGTTAGTCGTCGAAATATTTACCCACCAATAACTTACCAAAAACTAAATGCACGCTTTCATTTGTTTTTCCTCATTTAGGAATTCGAATTCGATCCTATGGTGCCATTTCAACCGGTCGTGGAGCCAACACATAAGGGCGCCTTCCTCACCGTTTTACCGCGCGATGGCGTAGTACCACATGGTTTTTCCTTACCACTCATGATTGGCGCCACCTCCGAGGAGGGTTTGCTTAAAACTGCGCCGTTACTCAATCTGCCTGGCCTCTTGGAGGAATATAAGCAACAATTTCATACAGTTCTACCAATCGAACTGCAATACGATCATCATCGGCCAGAAGTGCGTGATGAGATTACGCGAAAGATTGAAGAGCTCTACTTGAAGGAAGGCCATAACTATGACAAACGCAATCATCAAAACCTTACCAACGTAAGTCTTTTTCGAAAACAAATACACCAGGCTTAAACCGCTAACCTTTGTCTTGTTTGACAGCTCCACTCGGACGGTTGGTTTTTAGCTGGTATTGATGAGTATATCCGCCAGCGGGTGGAGGCTCAGAGCTCCTTAGATTTGCCACCCTTCTACGTATATCTCTTTGAACATCGCGGTCCAGCGAGTTTGACGGAAGTTATAAATGGTGGAAGCGAAGATTATTATGGTAAAGATAGCTATTTTATTGTGACATTTTTAACGAGCTAACATATCTACATGCATATATACGGCAGGTGTCTGCCACGCTGATGAATTGCAATATCTCTTTCCGCTGGGACTCAAACTATTCATAACCGCCTCGCCAACTGCAAATGACTTACAATTGCGTGAGGCTATACTTCAAATGTGGGTGAATTTTGCCACAGAGGGGTGCGTCTTCAAAATATTGATTCTTGTTTAGTTTTTTTTTTTTTTTTTGGTACTTACTCAAATCATTTTCACAGCAATCCTACGCCTGCGCAATCTGCTCTTCCTCATTGGGAGCCCGTGACTGGATATCCCGTGAATTATGCCCATTTGGGACACAAAATACCGGAAGAGTTTACTATACTACAAATGGAACGTGGTATCTATAGGAGTCGCATGGACTTCTGGCGCCAACTTAAAGCCCACATCCCGGCAGAGCAGCGCGAAACAAAATTGAGAGACGAGCTATAGGCGATGGATAAGCAAGTTTTACTTAATGCCTTCGCGTTCGTTAGGTATATCGTTGTAAAAAACTTTTCTGTAGCAATGCTGAAAACAATATTTAATAATTTCTTATGCCTATATAAATTCGAAGTCGGGTCACAAGTTTAAGCCTGTACATTTACTAACCTAATAAATTTTTTCTTTAAAAACATCTTTTTCGTAAAATTAGTTTTAGAAATCGCAGACATTCTTCTAAAGTGTTTTAAGTCAAAGCTTGTAATTATTGATATTGGCCTTTCGGAATTAAAAACTGTTTGAATTTTAGGTTTATGTTAGTTAACTCGATCGATAAGAAACTACATAGACCAATTCCTTGCCCATAATGGTGCCAAGATAGTAGGAAGAGGCGTTGGATTTCAAGCATTAATCGTAATACAATTTTTGTTTTGACAAATTGCCAGATCCAGACGAAGAAGAGGGCATTTCTTTCACTTTTCACTTGTTCTACCTTAGCTGCGAGAGGCAGTGACTCGTAAGTACACCAATCCATAGTGTGCAATCTAAAATTGGGAGTGTTGCAGTCAACCCTTAATGGGCGCGTCAAGTAACTGCCAAAAAGTCTCATGGCCATACAATTTGCATAAAGCATACCACAATAACGCCTTGGTAGCGTTGAGCAAACGGAATTTTTATTTTTGATAGGGCATTACGTCTTGCAGTTGGGTTTTGAAGACAAGAAAGAAAGGCAGGGGACCTAATATAGACAGATCAAACGAGATTAAAAATTAAAGAAAGAGAGAAAACGCTAAAAATTTTACCACATCAGCGGAGAAAGAACGCCACCTTGATAGAGTGAAAACCCTCCAGCAACGCCTCTATGCAGATATTCTTGAAGCCTTCCCAAGTATCGAGGAATACCCACATAGTAAACTCTTCATGATGGGTAATTTTCTATCTGTAGTAATGCACTATGGAAAGCTATTTCTGTGAGGCGGCCCTTGGTGTATTCGAGAGAAAGATCTATGTATTTATATAATAATAATGTTCATACTTAATAGTATTTGAACTCGAGACCCGAGATAAATTAATAATAGGCCACAAATAGCATAAAGTTAATGATAGTGGTATGGTAATCGTAATTGAAATGATAGTTATACAGCCTCATTGAGAGAGTCGTGTCGAATGCAAGCCGTTTTCCGAGAGTCAAATTGTACCGAAATTAATGTATTAAAATGGAAAAACTTGGCAGCATTACATAGTTTTCGACGATTTTCATTTACTTATTTCAGCACAATAGACAATGCCAATGTTGTCGAGTCGTACAATTGAGCCTAATTTACGACTTATGCAATGAGGCTGATAATTGGATTGGTAATGGTAATTGAAATGGTAATTATAATTGGATTGGTAATGGTAATGAAATGGTGATGATAATGGTAATACCCTTCGGGACAACTGACTGATCGCTGATGAATTCTCTAAGTATAACACTAGAAGTATTAACCCCTCAGATTATACAGCAGATTTCTACGGCGATTTTGAAAAATCTGATGAATGCTTTCCTGTGAGTGTGACTTTACATATCCTTTTAAAATATGTTGTTTCGTTCTCGCTAGTATACAGGATTGTCCATACTTGCATTCGTATTCGTTCACAATTTTGTGTGTATTAGGTTTCGTCAGATCCCAACAAGCATTTCAGTAAACGTTTTTAAAAATAACTTAAATTAAGTTTGCTATAATAAGCGTTAAATAAGCATTTTTAATATTAAGCTTATTAAAAGTGTTTTCAAATAAACCTTTAATAAGTTTTGAGAGCGAATGTTTATAAATAACTTAAACTTATAAATGAAATGTAAATGCCAACGACATGAAGTAGTAAATATAAAATTTTTTCAATCGTAAGAGACGTGTTTACGTTTTTTAAAATATATTATGAAAAGAAAAAATTTAATAAAACCGATGTGGTAAAAAAAGTCCAATCCAGGACCCGCGCTAATCGGTGGAGCATTCGAGTCTTCAAATGATGAGTTCCCCTTATCCTTTCTTAGTTTAACATTCAATTAAAAATGTATTAAATTTTTTTCAGAAAAGTTCATCAATGAGAATGGCGGCGATGAAGCGGAATATATAGCTGCATCGATGTCGCTTTTCCAATTTGCCAATAACCGCAAGTAATTGAAAGCACGCAACAAGATGTAATAATTAACTTTTTTATGCTTAATTTGTATGTGTTATTGTGAATTTGTATGCTAAAATGTCTATTCCCTATTTATATTTTCGCGACTGTAGATGAGTCCGCCGAAAATTCGCATTTCGTTTAGTTTCTAGTTGTTAAGCATTCTATGTATGAGTTTTTAATGAAATATCTTTAAATAAAGGGTTATAAAAATGTTTATGAAAAGCTTTCTTTTGAAAATGTTTAGTAAGTTTATATTCATACGCTTATAAAAAACTTTTTTTGAAACTTTATTATAAGTTTACTCTTTTACGCTTATAAAAAGCTTTCTTTTGAACATTTATTACAAGTTTATATTTCTACGCTTATAACCAATGTTCCTTTTCGATTATATTACGCTTACTTTCAAGCGTTTTATAAACAAAAAAGCAACGTTTTGTAAGCTTAATGTTTATAATTGAAAACTTAAAAAAAACTTTCTTTAAGTTTATTTTGCTTGTTGGGATAGTTTTACTAATACCCTGCAGAAAAATTTAGAGACAGTGTGGCAAAGGGCTAGTTCCGAACTAAATATTTCAGAACTACTTATCTCTGAACTAGTGCAAAACGGCTACAGAGCAGGACAGTTGAAACTTGCGGTGTTAGTAAGTGTACAAATTCTCACTCCTCGTACAATATGAAAGTAGCTTAACGAGACCTCCGACTCAAGCATCATTGGTCGTGAGTTCAGATCGCGGTGGAGGCAGTTGTGAGTTTTCAGATTTAATGAGTTTAAATGGTTGTGTGCCCCTTACAAAATTTTTTCTTTTTTTTGTTTTTATAAAATATGTAACAAACATGAAATCTGTAAAAGAAAAGAAAAAACGGAAAAAATATCCAAAAATCGAATCTTAAAAAAGTTTTCTTATAAAAAAACTGTCCACAACGGAACTGGTTAGAAACTAGTTGCAAAGTAATGCACTGGGCGACAATTGCCACCGCTAATGACATCGCCGTGTAAAACTGGCCAGTTGAAAGCATTGCTCCACTTTCAACGGAGTTATCAACTTAAAATCTAAATTGAAATTCTACTACTTTGTATGCAAAAAGAATTCACAGTTAGAGCTCTAGATACCCGGGTATCGAGCAATGCGAGTAGCTCGATACTCGCTCGAAACTCGTTCATTGCTCAACTGCTCAAATGTTTGTTCAAAATTTTCGAGTTTTTGAACAATTTCATAAACAAAAGAAAATTTGTAAATTGTATTTGTCAGCAGCTGCTTTCTAATTCATGTTAAATAAATTATATTATTAAATACCAATGTAACAATCTTTGCATTATATATCAATAATTTGAAAAATTTAAAAAGTTGCTATCAAAAATGTCAATATAATAAAAAAAAACATTGCTCAAATTACTCGAAAAAACTCGAATTGCTCGAGCTCATGCTCGAAAATTTTCGAGTAATGAGCATTGAACAAGTGTGCGAGTACTCGCTGCTCATATACCCGGGCTGTTTGAAAATGTGCGAACAAAATCGAGAGCTCTAATTCACAGCACTAACGCTTGTGAAGATTAGCCGATGTAAAGATTAGCCGATTCCCGAGCTCGCTTTCACACTGAGTTAACCGATGTGTCTGTTCTTTAAGATTGTATTGAAAAGAATATTGGAACACCTGCATTTCAACTGCTGAGTGGAAGATCGACCTATCTCGGCAGCCAGTTCGAAAACGCCGTATCTTAAAAAACTTTTCAAACACTTTCCCTATTTCAGAATTCTATTGAAAAACACCCTCTCTCACAATTTAGTAGAAGAACGCCCTATCTCACTTCAAAATGTATTGAAAATGTGCTGATATAGGGCGTTTTTGAAACGAATTCCTAAATAGGGCGTTCTTGAAAAGTTTTTTGAGATAGAGCGTTTTCGAGCTGGCTGCCGAGATAGATCGACGTTTTTCCACTCAGCAGTCGATTTCATCGTTACACTGCGATAAAAAAATATATATATTTTAAACCGAAACTTTCCAACACAGACTAACGTCGCATTTTCACAAGGCATTAAAATTACAAACAATTTTGCGCTCTCAACAACGTCATACGGAAACGAATTCAATTATTATTTTGAGTAACGCAATGACATCCGAATTTTTTAATACCAAATTTTATCATTAGCTCTGTTCCCGTGACCAATGATCGGGATATGGACAACAATTTTTTACGAAATTACAACAATAATGCTGTGATCCTGGTTCAATCATTGCAAAATCGGTCAGTTTATTTTATTTCACTGATAATTGGGCTTCGTGGCATTGACAAATGACTGAAACAGATATTCTGCCATTATTTTAATTTCTTTCAAATAATTCGCCTCTATGTTAAATATTTATTTAAATGAATATTATTTCGTTTAAATACAGGCACCGAAAATAACCATTAATACCCAGAATTTAATTTTTAGATCATTGCAAACTCGTTTTTATTTTATTTCTGTTTTTTGAGCCAACAATGATCGTTCAATCGTTTTTAACTGTTATAATTTAACTGTTTTTATGGCCGTTTTAAATTCTTTAGGACCTATAAAATTAAATCGGAAAATAAGGTTATGAAACGATCGCAAAAATAAAAATAAAATAATTACGATGGTTAAAAATCATAAAATAACGATTAAATTTTATCGCAAAAATATGAATTCAATTTTAATGGTTAAATTACGATTTTTATTACAAAGCCCATAAACCGTACGGTCTCTGTTTAAATTTACTCCTTTCCCCATTTAGTGAAGACAATTTTTCAAATACCTACTCTGCTATGTAAAATTAGTGCTGCTAACCGCCATAAGAACTCGCCAGATTGTTCGCGTGGGAATTAATCGTAAAAATGAGCTGGATAAACCACGGGAACACGACTATTAAATGCCAAGTGGAAATCTGGCTAATGGGTATTTTTGTATCTCCAACTTGTGTCAATAACTAAAAAAACATTTGCTACATATGTAAGTCCTTGGCCAAGCTTCACCCTCCGATTTGGAACTTTCGCCTTGATATTGTCACACA